TATACCACGCCTACCAAGTGATCAAAGCCCAGGGCATACCCGACGAAAACATAATAGTCTTTCATTACGACGACTTACCCACGAGTAAACAAAACCCTACGCCCGGTATTGTGGTTAACAAACCCGAAGGTCCGGATGTCTATCATGGAGTTCCCAAACACTTTACCGGCAAAGATGTCACACCAGAGGTAGGACTTAATGGTTTAAAATTATATTAAAATATTTTGTTAATAAATAATTTTTTGTAGAACTTTTTGGCTGTACTTAAAGGCAACGAAACACTAGAAAAGTCGGGAAAGAAGGTCGTTAAGAGTGGACCTAATGATCACGTGTTTGTCTATTTAATGGACCATGGTGGCCACCGTAATTTTACTATTAGTTTTATTAAATTAGAACAAATTAAAAAATTTTTATTTATCTAAATATAGAAATAGTAGCATTCCCAAATGGCATACTACACGCCCAGGACTTAAACAACGCGCTAATAGACATGCATAAAAATAATAGATTTTCAAAATTGGTATTTTATTTGGAAGCATGCGAATCAGGTACTAAACTTATATTAAACAATAAAAATTAAACTTATTGAAATTTAATAATTAAATTATATTCCGTACCTAGGTTCTATGTTTGACAAATTATTACCCACTGACATAAATGTATACGCTATAACCGCTACTAAGCCTGATGAGTTGGGCTGGTTTTGCTACCACGATGCTAAAGTTTATAAGACCTATCTGGGTATGATTATTAAATAATTAAAATTGTGATTAACTGAATTACTTACTTAATATTTGCTCATGCTCATTTATAGCTACATTCTTTGCGGTCAATTGGTTGGTAGATAGCGAGAGTCATGACCCTAAGGTCGAGTCACTTGAGCAACAATACGAGTACATTAAAGCCAAAAATAATTTCACCATGGACGGTCAAGTGCACACCCAACACGCGCAACAATATGGCGACTTGTCCATAGCTAATTTGCACCTATCAGAATTTTTGGGTATAGTTATTTACATAAAAAGTTGATTGTGTTTAAATCTAAAATTTATTTATTTATAAAGGTACCAAAACGTCTTCTCGAATGCATATGAATTCACTCCCATTGGATATGAATGGCCAGGAATTTGTGAGTTTCAGAGACGTTGCCATTCGGGTGTTGGAGAAGAATATTGAGTCGACGGATAATATATCCCTGAAATTAGGGTACATTTTATCAAATGATTTTAAAAAATATTTTTATACTTTAATATTTTTTATATAAAATTATAGTTATACTCAAGAATTGGAGCGCATATTGAATGGCCGACAATATGTGAATAAACTATTTGCTGATTACGTGAATAGTATCCAACATTTGCTTAAAGTTGAGANAATATATCCCTGAAATTAGGGTACATTTTATCAAATGATTTTAAAAAATATTTTTATACTTTAATATTTTTTATATAAAATTATAGTTATACTCAAGAATTGGAGCGCATATTGAATGGCCGACAATATGTGAATAAACTATTTGCTGATTACGTGAATAGTATCCAACATTTGCTTAAAGTTGAGACCCATGCTAAACCCACTAATGGACCTTGCTATAGAAAATTGGTCGACACATTCCATACTGAGTGTTTGAATGTTGGCCAGGTATTTATTTTAGTTTTAATATTTTAGTATATTATATAATTTTAATGCATTTCCTACAGAATCCATACGTGTTGTCAAAACTGCAAACATTTGTGAATATTTGCGAACAAATGCGTGACTCGAGTGATGCGGACATTGCTGTCAACCGATTGATACAACACTGCGATAGAAATGTTGACTCAAAATACGCTAATATTTTATAAATGATTTCTTATATACTGTTTAAAAATCATGTTAATTATTTGTTGAATTTGAAATAATAAATAACTTTATGAATTACCATGTTATTTTTATTTTTTTAAAATAAATATAATTTAAATTACATATATTAAAATACCTATAGCTTAACCTAGTTAAATATGTTTCCATATAAAAGTTAGTAATGTAATTTTCTATATGTCAAGTAGTTAAACAATTCAATGCAACTTAATCCAAATATTTCATTGTAATTAACATAAATTGCAAAATATTTTAATAATAAAAACATTCTTGCTTAATTAAATAAATCAAAAGCATTGAACTCTATTATTTATTGTTTTTTATAAACCAACGATATTTACATTTCTAATTAACCTATAATAACCTTATTTTTGTATTCATAATGTAATTGGTATATATTTTTGAATTAATGATCTTATTTTAAAATAAATTTCAACTTGGCAATTTATATAAACTTATTTCATAGAATAATTTTTGAAATAAAAAAATAAATTTTCAAAATGATTAAGATTTTACTTTTAATTTTTTATTATTTTTATACTAATAAACTTATACAACCATTATATACTTTACCTGTACCAAGTTATAATGGTACCACATGGGTCGTACTATGTGCCAGTGCTAAAAATTGGAAAAGTTATGCTATCCAGGTAAATATTATAAATAATTTACTTAAATCATTATAGCTAATTTAATTTCCAGGCTTCTGTATACCACGCCTATCAAGTAGTCCATTCCCGAGGTATACCCGATGACCACATAATAGCCATGTATTACAACGACATACCTTTCCATACATCTAACCCAACACCTGGTGTTGTAGTCCACACACCAAATGGTAGTAATGTTTACACCGGAGTTCCCAACGACTATATTGGCGATCATGTCACACCAGAGGTATTTGAAATAAAATCAAATTATTATATAATTTTAATTATAATTTTTTTATTACTATTTATAATTATACAGAATTTTTTAGGTGTACTTAAAGGGGACAAAATATTGCAGCGTAACGGGCGTCGAGTACTCAACAGCGGGCCCAATGATCACGTGTTTGTCTACTTAATGGACCATGGTGGAAAAGGTTTAAAAACTTTTGAACAAAGGCACCTGATGCACATAAGGTTAATTATTTAATTTATTTAGAAAGGGTATTTTTCCCAACGGGTGTACTACAAGCTAAGGATTTAAATAATGCACTCATAGATATGCATAAAAGTAAAAAGTTTTCAAAATTGGTATTTTACTTGGAAGCATGCGAATCAGGTAGGCATATTAATATAATTTAAATAAAATACAATAATTATTTTTACTACATCAGGGTCTATGTTTGATAAGCTATTACCAAACAATATTAATGTATACGCAGTTACGGCAACCAAACGCAATGAACTAGGTTGGTTTTGTTGTTACGATTACCATCGAAAAATTTATGTGGGTTAGTGTTAAGCAAATGTCAAATTATTATTTTTAGTTAAAATTATTTTTATTATTAGCCACAGATTTTTCATATAATTGGCTAATGAATACTGAGCATGATAATAATTCACGCATTGAAACACTACAAGATCAATTTGATTTTATCCAAAACTCTACACGTAATCAACATGCTCAACAATTTGGCGATTTATCTATTGCTAAATTACCTGTCTCACAATTTTTAGGTATAGTAGTACTGTATATAATTTTATTTTAATATAATATTTATTTTATAATTAACAGGTTCTAAAATATAATTAAAATCTGAATCAAATAACTTTTAAAACTACTGTTATACAGGGCGGCCAAATTATGGCAGTGCTACTTTGATTTTAATTTATTTTAATACCGTCTTGTTTATTTTATTCATTTAATTACTAAATTGTAGCTGGATAGTTAGTGTTTTGTTTGGTATATGATTTGTTCATGTCAGTATTAACCAAAATTTTATACAAGGAATATAGTTTTAAACATGCAAAATTTTTCATACTTTTTTATGCAATTCATACTTATATGCTCACAAGTTTATATTTATTACAAACTGTAATTCATTATTTTCAATAAAATTATTTGATTTTGAATTAATATTCATTTATAGAAAATAAAATAATTTTTATAAAATTACAGTTTCGTAAATATTTTTGTTAAAACATTGAATTACAGTT